GTCCCTCCCGTTAGAAATAATCTCCACTTCCCTCTCTGCCTCTCTGCAGCCAGGAGCATGGCTCCTCCTTCCTGCAGAGCCCTCTCTCTCTTATGAGATGGAGGTGTGTCCCTCCCTTGTACAAGCTCACTTGCTGGCTGCTGACACTTCTGCTCCAGCTCTTTGACCTGGGCTCCAAGCCGGGTGGCCTCTTCAGAGACCTGTGTGATGTCCTCATCCCTCCCCTTCCAAATCTGCTGCTCTGGCCACCTCAGCCTGGCCAGCAGGAGGCACCGCTGTTCCCTCGGGTCCTTCTGCGGCGTCTCAGCGGCTGCTTCTACCTGGTGCTTCTTGCTTTCGGTCTGCGTCTGCAAGGGGTGGAAGGGCAGACGTGCTTAGCAAGGGCTCAGAGCTGGCTTCCAGGAGGGTCATCTATATCCTTATTATTGATTAAAGGGGACAGGGAGCAACTTGTCCTCAGACTCATTCCACTAGGGAGAAGTAGGTAGGTCTGAAGGTGGACTTGCCAGTGATGAGGGCTGTGCTATTTTCTTAGCTAGAGACTCTATAATAATGCCACATTGTCCTCTAAAGCCACGTTTAAGTTTTTAAAACTCTTCCCGCAACTGTGATGCCATCTGAGCCCTACCATACCTTCGTAGAGTTGGCTGGAAATAACTGTAGTCATTTCTTAGAAAGCAATTGAAGCAAAAAGCAGTTGTAATTAGAGTCAACACAACTTAGTGGAAGAATGCGTTGGTCCTAGCCATGGAGGCCACCATCTACAGGGCATGCTTTGATGGGAGTTGGGGGATGCTGAGAGATTTTCCTGTCCCCACACTCAGTCTCCTTGATCAAGGTACCAGAGATTCCCATATTGCGGTTTCCTCCTTGATAACTTTGCAGCATGAAAAAAGAGGCGAGAGGGAGCCAGGCAAAGCCACACCACTGGCCCGCTGTCCTCGGGGCAGCCTTGCGGTCAGGGCGCGGCTCCAGACAGTGGCATGCACCATCTGGCCCCAGCTCCCGCCTGCAGGTGGTGTGTTCGGGCAGACAGAGTGGCAGGAAGAGCAATGGACTAAGGGTCTGGGGACCCAGGTTCTAGTCATTTCATCATGAACTTGGGCTTTGCTGTATGGCTTGGGAGCGTCACTTTCCTGGACTTCAGTTTCCATTCTATAAAACATGGCAGATAAGAAGGATGTTGGATTAGAAGACTCCAGAACCCCCTCCAGCGCTGACATTCCAAGATCCCAGATGCCTTGGTACAATGGCAAGAAGGTGAACTGGAACATTTTGCCAGTTCTTTCCTGCCAGGCAACCAGCCTCCCCACAGTCTGTTAAGAAAACCCCAAAGGAGAAAGTGCCAGTGGTGTGGCCTTCCCCAGAAGCACTTGGAGCCTGTGCTCTTCTCAACACTTCCTGTCCCCAATTCCATCCCTCTCCATGCTCAGAGCTTCCGGCGACTCCTGGATGCTCCTGTGGGGAGCAGAAGGGCCGAAAGCGGTGGCTGCATCACTAGTTCAGCTCACGGGTGGGAACTGTCCAGCACGGTCCGGCAAGCCTTTGAGTGCTGAGGGGTTCGAGGTAGAAGGGGCCCAGACCCTGGTTCCCTAAAGAGATCACCATCTCGGGCAAGAGTCAGTCACAGTGATTAAAATGCGGCCAGAAAATGTGCTGGCCGTGGTGGACGCACCGTGCGGTGGGAAGGCCCTCGGCCTGGAGAGGAGGGAGGCAGAAAGCGTTTGCAGGGGCCTCGGCAGCGGTCTCCAGGTGGGCAGAGAGGGGGAGAGAAGTGCTTACTGCCCCTGAACCGTGTACTTAAAAATAGCTAACGTGTAAAAAGAGAAAAGGGGGTGGGAGGTGGGGAGAGCATTCCGGGAGGAAGAAGCCATGTGCAAAAGTGTCAGAAGCAGGAACAGATAAGCCGGTTCAGGACGCGGCTGCGGCAGCTCCGTCTGGCTGGCCCCGCGGTGCCTGCAGGAGGGCGGCTGACCGAGGAGCCCGGCTGCCAAGGGCCCTGAGTGCCTTGCTCAGACCTTGGACTTTCTCTGGGCACTAGGGATCCATGGAGGGGTTTAGAGAAGGGGAGTGGCGATTGGCTCTGTGTGTTTGGAGATGTGCCTGGGCAGATCGGAGGCAATCGGAAGGGTGAGCGTGGAGGTCGGGAGGGCACTGCAGACGGCGCGGCGTGGGGGCAGGGGCTGGCTGTGGCATAAGGCAGTGGTCGAGATTCTGGAGATGTTTCTAAGGAAACCACTTCTAGACCTGGTGACTGGATGGCGAGAGAGAGATCTGAGGGGCAGGCAGGGACAGCTAGTGTCCCCAAGACAGGGTGGGAATTCTCACAGCGCTGGACTACTGCCTCCCCCAGTAAGAAGAGCAGCACTGCAGGTTGCCCTCCTGGCTCCTCTCCTTCCTCTGAGCCCCAGAGCTCAGGGCCTCGCCAGCCCCTAGTCCAGCCTGCACCTGGGAGCAGAGCTCCTCCTGCCCGGCCCTGCAGGAGGGCCTCCTGCTCTGCGGGGCTGTTTCCGTAGTGAGTGAAGCCAGCTGCCATCCTGGGCTCCATCGCCATGGGTCCTCCGAGGGCTGGAACTAAAGGCCCCCTGAGACAGCAAACTCTCACACATCCCAGTGGACCACGTCCCTGTTCGCTCCGGGAGTGTCCCTGGTGTCCTTACAGCCGTGGGGTCCCCTGGCATGGAAGCCAGGTGCTCCGTCCAGATCCCCACCCCATCCCCTCCACCCAGGACAGCACATCGTCCTGCCCCGAACAGGCCCAGGGTAAAGCCGCACTTCTCCCCGTGGGGCTGAACGGCCTTGTTAAGGAGCCCCATGGCACAGCCTGGGGACACCCAGGAACTCGGCATCTTCTCCCTGTGCTCTCGCAGTGAGTCTTCCCCGGCCAGGGGCCACAGGGCCTCTGTCGTCTGCTCCTCCCCTGGCAGAGCAGGACCCTGCCGAGCGCTGCCCCCCCGCCCCCCGGCCAGGGGCCACAGGGCCTCTGTCGTCTGCTCCTCCCCTGGCAGAGCAGGACCCTGCCGAGCGCTGTCCCCCCCGCCCCCCGGCCAGGGGCCACAGGGCCTCTGTCGTCTGCTCCTCCCCTGGCAGAGCAGGACCCTGCCGAGCGCTGCCCCCCTGCCCCCCGGCCAGGGGCCACAGGGCCTCTGTCATCTGCTCCTCCCCTGGCAGAGCAGGACCCTGCCGAGCGCTGCGCCCCCCCCCCCAGAAGGGGCCACAAGGCCTCTGTCATCTGCTCCTCCCCTGGCAGAGCAGGACCCTGCCGAGCGCTGCGCGCCCCCCCCCCAGAAGGGGCGGGAGGCAGAGCTGGCAGAGGTGTGCCCACAGGTGGCAGTCCCCACCTCCTCCAGGCCCTGTGCAGGCAGGACAGCTGGCCCCTCAGGACCACCTGCAGGGACGGGTGGAGGGCACCACTGTGCCTTCCGCAGCCCGTCACTCAGGCCTCTGTCTCAGTCCGCACGAGCTCCCTTTCCCTGAATCGAGTGGCGTTTATATGAGTCACGGAGGGAAAGGACAGGAGGCCAACAGAGGGGAAGGCAGGAATGTCGGCACAGGGAAGCCACCTGCTCGGCCTCTTGTGCTCTCGAGAACCCTTGCCCACCACCCATGAGCTGAGTGGCCCACACTCCAGGGCATTTCCCAGGGGCAGCCAAGTAAGCTGGTTGTGCCATCCTTCTGGCTCCTTCTGTCCCTGGGGTGGGGAGGAGAGCGCACCATGAGGGCACAGGGAGGGGGATTTCTAGGAATCCCTTGACCGCAGTGGGGGGGGGGACTGAGGAGGAGACACTTCCTGTCGGGTTGGGCAGTGGGAGCCGAGCGGCCCAGTCCAGGCTGCAGGGGGAGGGACTGACTTCCGAGACCCCGGGTGGGGGCTGCTGTGGCACATTCAGGCCTCCACTCGGCCCCTGCTCACTCGGCGCCTCGCCCTCCTGGCCTGCCCCTCACCTGCCGGTGCCAGCCTTTCCTGTGCTCCTGGATCCCCACCCAGCACATGGCCTCCACTGGAGTTTGGATTAAAGTGACAAGTGACTTTAATTTTATTTTATTGCCATAGGTGGGAGAAGGCAAGAAACCATAATGCAAATGATTTATGTTGATAAATGTTAGAAAACAATTAGTCAAAAACATACACAGTGCCAACCACCTTTATCTAGGGTTCAGTGTTTCATATTGCCGTGTCTGGCACCAGTAGCAACGCTCCGGGCAGGTGTCATTGCCTTCATGTCAATGTAGGAAAAAGTCACGCGAAAGGTCACAGCACTACAAAGCCTCACAGCTGGGGACAATCGCAGGCTCCTGGCTCCAAGCCCCACACCCTCTTGCGCTCCACGCCAGGACCGAGATCCACCAGCTGGGACCCCTCACCCACCGGCCTGCGCCTGCGAGGGACGACAGACCGGCCTGGCCTCGCCCTCCCTGGTGCCCAGGGCCCTGGCGTCGCTCCCTTTCACCCCAACCGCTCGGCACGTCGCCTCCCTTCCCCCCGCCCTCCCCGCCCACTCGAGTGCGGCCTCGGCACACCGTCCCGTGCAGGAGCCAGCAGCCACACGTGGTCGCCGAGCACTGCGTGGCCGGTCTGACGGAGGTGTGCTGTGTGCGAAACACACGCCAGATTTCAAAGACTGCGTAAATAAAAAGATACAAAATATTAATGACTTTGTATGCAGATCACATATTGAAATGATAATATTTGGGAAACATAGGGCTAAATAAAAGACATTATTAAATTAATTTCACCCGTTTCTTTTTCCTCTTTCTATATGGCTGCTAGGAAAGTCTAAACTGGGTATGCGGCTCACATTGCATGTGTGTTGGGCGGCATTGCTGGAACACACAGACCTGACTGCACGCCATGGTCCCTGGCCTTCCTGCCGCACTCCTGCAGCAAGCTGGGTCAGCTGGCCGAGCCTCAGTTTCTCAGCTGCGCAATGGAGACCCTGACAGCGCCGGCGTTGTAGAGCAGATAAGAGGAGCACGCCAGACCAGACGTTTGCATCGTGTCGGGGTAAAGCGTACGATCATCACAAACAGATGCTGGCTGTTACCTCGTTTTCTTTCTCCTCCCCCACGCAGGGACAGTCCAGCCTCTTTCGAAGCTGCGGCGGGACAGGTGGGGCGTCACCAGTGAAGTTGGTGGTGCCGTGTGTGCCGGGTCGCACGGGCCTTATCTGAGTCCCCACACTCTCCAGCCCTGGGCTGGCTGATATCCCTAATCTGCCTGGAGACAGCTGGCCATAGTGCAGGGAGGCGGGGTGGCATCTCCACTCTGTGACTCGGTCTCCCTCCTGCCCCCAAAAGAATGACTGTTTCAGCAGTGGGCGGTGGAGCTACCACCACTCCCCTCCACTGTGTCTCTGGACAGACAGAAGGGAACGGCGAGCCCAGGTCACGGCCACCCGTCCGGACGTCAGGAGGCCATCTCTGGGATGCTGTGAGACCTGCTCCTTCCCTGTCCCATTCTCCCTGTCTGCGGTTGGCAGGACAGCAGGACCCTGGCCGCTGCCAGATGTGAGAGTGGCAGCCTGTCTGCGTGTGCGTGTGCCGGTGCGTCTTTAACACGCGCCTGCGCCTGGCCCTGAGCGCATGTGAGGGTGTGGCACGTGTCTGCTCCACTTTCCCAGCCCTTCCTCTTCCTCCAGGCTGCGGGGGCGACCTTGAGGGGGCCGTAGCAGCAGCACCATGGCCTCAGCCGCTGCTGTGACCAGCCTGGCAGACGAGGTCCAATGTCCCATCTGCCAAGGGACCCTGAGGACGCCGGTCACCATCGACTGTGGCCACAACTTCTGCCGCAGCTGCCTCACGCGCTACTGCGAGACCCGGGGCCCCGACCTGGGGCAGCCCCCGACCTGCCCTGTCTGCAAGGACCCCTTCCGCCCCGGCAGCCTGCGGCCCAACTGGCAGCTGGCCGGAGTGGTGCACAGCGTCGAGCGCCTGCAGCTGGCGTCCGCGCCGGGCTTGGGAGGGGAGGTCGTCTGCCAGGAGCACGGAGAGAGGGTCTACTTCTTCTGCGAGGATGACGAGGCGCAGCTGTGCGTGCTGTGCCGGGAGGCTGGGGCCCACGGGGCGCACACCCTGCGTTTCCTGGAGGCGGCGGCGGCTCCCTACAGGGTAGGAGGGGCTGGGGTCCGGGCAGGACTGGACTGAGGAGCAGAGCTGGGCTGTGGATTAGTTGGGCCCCCCTGAGGCCCAGGTCTTTCTCCTTACTAATATGATTACCCTGGCACTAGCACGGGATATCGTGTGTGTATGTTTTTGGTGTGTTCTGTGATGGCCAAAGGATAGTAGGAGCTCAGTAAGCACTTGCTGAATGAACGAGCGACCGAGACATTGGTGCGTGTGTCTGTGTGACAGGTAAGCGTGTCTGGGGTTCACGTTTGAGGGACGGTTGTGCAGTGTGCGTGTGTGTGCACACGCAGGCGTCCCCACCTGTGGTGAGTTCTGTAATTAGTTCATTATATATTGCAATGTGATAATAGCAGCAATAAAGTGCACAATAAATGAAATGTGCTTGAATCACCCCGAAACCATCCCCTTTCTCCCCGGTCCATGGAAAAATTGTCTTCCATGAAAACGGTCCCTGGTGCCAACAAGGTTGGGGACTGCTGTTAATGTTTGCGTGTTTATAGGTGAGTGGGAGTCTGAGTATGTGTGTGTCTGAGTGTATTACGTGTAACTGTTGGAGAGTTCATGTTTGTGAATAAATTGGTGTTCACATATATGCAGGTTGGGTAATTCCATTTAATCTGTCACTAAGTGAGTGTGTGCTGGTGCTAGTTGTTATGTGTTGTGTTTCCATACAAGCGGGCTGCTGTGTGTGTGGATGTCTTGTTCATCAGCATTTGATGTTGAGATTTCTGTACGAATTTTTGAGAATACATGTGTGGACATTTATGTGTGTTACCTGCTCATAACCATTAAACAATTCATCGACTAATTTTGGGTTATCTAAGTCTAACCTCCCCTCTGGAATCCTGCACAGATTATCGATTCTAGTGAAAAGGGAGGGTCGCCATCTGCACACGCTCCCTTTGGGATGTGTCGGAAACCCGGAAGAATTTCAGTAAAGGACAGATCAAGCTCAGGACAGATCCCAGATGTCACTCAACAAGCAGAAGGAAGCAGGGTGTTAACGAGACTCCAGGCTAAGTGGGAAAGAAACCCACAGCCATGCTCTCATCCGATGGAGGGAGAAGCCCTGGTCAGAATTCCTGGAGCACAGAGCAAGGGGACGAGACCCAGAGAGTTCACTGTCAGGCGCAGGCTCAGGCGTCACCAGCCCCAGGAGACATTCCTTTCCTGGGGCCACTTCACCCTGGGTGGGGCTGGACGAGGTGACAGCCTTGAACAAATCATGTTTCCCTCTTAGGTGTTTTAAATTCCTTCTCCCCAGGAGCAAATAGAAAGATGTCTCAAGTGTCTAAGAAAAGAGAGAGAGGAACTCCAAGAAATCCAGTCAAGGGAAAAGAAACGAATACAAGTCCTGCTGGTAGGTCCTCATCCCTTCCCGGGACCCGCGCCTTTCTCGGGGCCTGGTGAGTCCCTGAAGCCAAGGCGACATGGCACACAGGGCTTTGATGTCATTCTGAGTTTGAATCCTGACTCTGGCACTGTGTGAACTTAAGCTACTCTCTCACTTCCGTTCATTTATCTGTGAAACAGAGATTAAACACTGTCACGACCTCATCGGTAAGGACGAAATGAGGTTGTTCCTGTAAAGCAGCTTAGGGCTGTGCACACAGCGCGCACATCTGGAAGGAGAGCAGCGGCGTCCCCGGCACCCCCAGCCTGCCCCTTCCGAGCTGCGGCAGAGCCTGCATGCTGTGCCCGGCTCCAGGGACAGGGGCGGGCGGGCAGGAAACCGCCCAGCTCCGAGCCTGAGGGAGTGTGTGCGGAGGGTGTTCTGGTTCTACCCCCAAGCTTTGGAGGATGCAGGTCTGGATCAGGGAGGAGACAGGGTGAAGTAGGGCACAGGAGAAAAACGAAGAGGAGGAGGAACATGAAAACCCCCTCAGCTCGCCTCCTGCCCCTAGACCCAGGTGTCCACCAAGAGACAGCAGGTGACCTCCGAGTTTGCCCGTCTGGCCCGGTGCCTGGAGGAGCAGCAGAGCACCCTCTTGGGGCAACTGGAGAGCCTGGAAGAGGACATCCTGACGCAGCGGGAGGAGCTGGAGGCCCTGCTGGCTGGGGAGATCCGCCGCTTCAATGCTCTGGTCGAAGAGCTGGAGGAGAAGAAGGAGAGGCCCCCAGAGAGGCTGCTGACGGTGAGGCCTCACCCCATTTCTCCTGTGTCCCCGTGACCGCAGTGTCCCCACCTCCCCTGCGTCCCCACCTCCCCTCTGTCCCCACCTTGCCTGCATCCCCACCTCCCCTGTGTCCCCAGGTCCCCTGTGTGCCATGACTGCTGTGTCCCCACCTCGCCTGTGTCCCCAACTGACCTGTGTCCCCACCTCCACTGCGTCCCCATCTCCACTGCGTCCCCACCTCCCCTGCATCCAAATCACTGCTGTGTCCCCACCTCCCCTGTGTCCCCACCTTCCCTGTGTCCCCACCTCTCCTGCGTCCCCACCTCCCCTGCATCCCCACCTCCCCTGTGTCCCCACCTCCCCTGTGTCCCCACCTCTCCTGTGTCCCCACCTCTCCTGCATCCCACCTCCCCTTTCCCACTCCCTGTGTCCCCACTCTCTGTGTCCCCTCCTGCGTCCCACCTCCCCTGCGTCCATCATGCTATGTCCCACTCTCCGTGTCCACCTCCCCGCGTCCCACTTTCCTGAGTCCATGACTGCTGTGTCCCCACTCCCTGCTCCCTCCTCCTCTGTGTCCCTCCTCCCCTGTGCGTCCCCACCTCCCCTGCGTCCCCACCTTTCCTGAGTCCCCATGACTGCTGTGTCCCCACCTCACCTGTGTCCCCACCTCCCCTGCGTGTCCGCCCTTTCTGAGTCCCATGACTGTGTGTCCCTCTCCCCTCGTCCCCACCTCCCCCATGTGCTACAACTCCCTGTGTCCCCGCTCCTGTTCCCCACTCGCCTGCATCCCACCTCGCCTGTCCCATTCCCCTGTGTCCCACTGCCTGTGTCCCCACCTCCCCTGTGTCCCACCTTGCCTGTGTCCCCACCTCCCTGTGTTCCCACTCGGCCTGCGTCCCACTCCCTGGTCCCACTTCCCATGTGTCCCCACCTCCCTTGTGTCCCCACCTCGCCTGTGTCCTCACGTCCACTGATCCCACCTCCCTGGTCCCCATCACTGCGTGTCCCACCTTCCCCTGCATCCCTGCTCCCCTTGATCGCCACCTCCCCTGTGTCCCCACCTCCCCTCGGTCCCACCTCCCCTGTGTCCCATGACTGCTGTGTCCCCACTCGCTGTGTCCATCCCCTGTTCCCACTCCTTGTCCCCACGTCCCCTGTGTGCACTCCCTGTGTCCCCACCCCCCTGTGTCCCACTTCCCCTGTTACCCCACCTCTCCTGGTCCCCATTCCCTGTGTCCACCTCCCCTGTGTCCCCACTTCCCCTGTGTCCCCACCTCGCCTGTGTCCCCACTTCCCCTGTGTCCCCACCTCGCCTGTGTCCCCACTTTCCCTGTGTCCCCACCTCATCGGTGCACGTTACCGCTGTGTCCCCACCTCCCCTGTGTCCCCACCTCCCCTGTGTCCCCACCTCCCCTGTGTCCCGACCTCATCGGTGCACGTTTCCGCTGTGTCCAGGTTTGTCTAAGTCGTGTGTCCTTCCCTCAGACGCCTCTGCTATCCCTGAGGGCCAGGGCCTCAAAACTGGCCCAGGTTTCCTCGTGAGTGTCCTGGTCACTTCGCTCTCTGGCCTCCACCCCACCACCTGTCCAGTGGGGAGGACACTTTCCTCAACTGCCTCACAGGCTTGTGCGGGTACGACCGAAATGGAATTTGAAGTGGCACTTTGAAGGTGCCAAGTGCTTTGCAAGCAGATGTCAGATGCTGTTTGCACCTGAAACCACTGTCCCCGGAAGTGCCGAGCAGGCCGGCCCTGCCAGCCTCTGAGACGAGCGGCGTGGCCGTGGAGCAGCGCATTGCCTGCAAACCAGGGGCTCCGCCCAGGCCCCACGCCTGCCCGCTCTGTCTCACCTCCTTGGCCGGAGGGGAGGTTCCGGGTCGCCACAAGGCGTGAGGCAGGCAGCGTGATTCGCGGGCGCCTCCGCACGGGGCTGACCTTCGCCTCTGAAGGGCAGGGGCAGGGCCTGCAGCGTGTGGGCCTGTCGAGTCAAGTCGCCCAGGAAGCCCTGAGGCTGCGCCTGTACGGTCTGGTGTCCCCTCTCTGTCCCGGCTCGGGATGTGGTGTCTCGTTGCTCTAGTCCTAAGGCGAGTGGGAGGGAGAGCCGGGGAAACTGACTGCCCTCTCTCTCCCCAGGATGTCAGAAGCACCCTGATAAGGTAAGATGCGCTTTCTCTCTCACACGCGGCCCACGCCGGGTTATTGCCGCGTGAGCGTGTAACCGTCTCACATTAAGGACGTGCGTTCACGTGTAAACGTGCTCACGTGCAGACGCAGTGTCCCGCGCGCCGGGAGGGGCGTGGGGAGCAGCCAGGAGGGAGTCTGTCCGTTGTGGGAACCGGCGCCTCCATGCTGCGGTGGAGGAAGATGACCTGCCGAGGCGCCCTCGGAAGGGTAATTCCAGCCCCACCATTTCTGTGCCTCTAGGTGTGAGACCAGAAAGTGCCGGAAGCCAGCGGCTGTGTCCCCGGAGCTGGGCCAGAGGATTCGGGACCTCCCGAGGCAGGCCCTGCCGCTGCAGAGGGGCGTGAAGCTGTTTCTGGGTAAGAGACCCCCGGCCTATTTCCAAGCAGAAAAAGAAATAAGTGAACCCATGTATCTCTTCGTTAGGCAGACGTTCCGTGAGCACTTGCTGTGTCCCGGGTTCTGTGGGTGCAGAGGGCAGCGGGCGGCGTGGGCTGCCGGCTCAGGGCTAGGGCAGCATCCGCACCGGGACCTGTGAGGAATGGTGGGCTTCAGCCACCCAGAGCACCTGGCTCTGCAGCAGGTGTGTCTTACTGGCCCTCTGGGTGGCGCTAAGGCACACTCCAGGGTGGAGCCACTGGTCTCGAGGGTCCTGCCTTCCACGCTTCTGTTTGTTTCTCCCTCCTCCGGGCCTCAGTGTCCTCAGCTCCAAGTGTCCTGTGGTTTTGTGAGACCGATGTAATCTCATCCTGTTTGTTTCCTCTTTGCAGAAAAACTCTGCTTTGCGCTGGACTATGAGCCAGGTAAGCAGCCTACACCAGGATGGGGGAGTGACGAGTCCCTGAGAAGGACAGCAATTTTGCATCACAGTAGTCATATGTGCACACGCACATGCGTGTATACATCCGTCACTGCCCTTGCAAGGCTCTCAGGAGGCCGTGACAAAGGCACAGGCACACCCGCCGCGAGTGCAGCACGAAGCTCACACCCCGTCAGTGAGAGTCGGGTGGACGGAAAGACTAAATCGGGACGGGACGGGGCCCACTGGGGGGAGGCTCTGCATCAGGGGCACTTCGGCGTGGGTTTAGAGTCGTACCCTAGCACCCCCAGGAGCGCCTGCCTCCTCTCCGGTGTCATTCCACAGGGGACAGACGGGGGCGGCCATGGGCGGGAAAGGAAGGAGCAGGACGGACCCTCCGAGGCCGCTGTCCCAGTGATTCACCAAAGCCTGGGGGTCATGGAGGTGTCGGAAGGGGCTCGCTAACCATCGCTGTTGCTGGATTTATGAGATTTTCTCAATCTGTGGATACTAAAGGTCACAACATGCAGGGGCATGCAGAAGTTTGTGGTGCTAAAAAGCGGTCCTCAGACTTTGCAGGTCTTAGAGTCACTAAGGCAGAGTGGCCAGTCTGCGAGTGAGCTGGAGACCCTGCGGGGAGGGAGGAAATTTGGACAGGAAATGCGTGTCCCCCTCGTGCCTGCCTTCTGAGACAGCGACAGGGAGGGGCGGGGGCGGCTGTGTGGTGAGACAACAGCTTCGCCAGGACGGCGCAGAGCCACGCGGGAGCTGCTGCCTCCTCCGAGGCCGGCTTCCCCGCCGCACCACGAGCCTGCATGGCCGGCATCTGGTGGAGATGCAGGTTCTCGGGGCCGAGTTCCTGCCCAGTTCCCAGGCAGTGCCAAGCCTGGTCAGCGTGGGAGCCTTGCTTGCTGTGGTGTCGGCAGCGACAGTGCTGACGGGTGCAGGGAGTGCCAGGCCTTCCTTGAAGGTAACGGCACGTCCGCTGACATCTGTGTCCCTTTGGTTATCCCCACAGCTCACGTCTCTCTAGACCCCCGGACTTCCCACCCCAAGCTCCTCTTGTCTGAGGACCACCAGCGTGCCCAGTTCTCCTACAAGTGGCAGAACTCGCCAGACAGCTCCCAGCGTTTTGACCGGGCCACCTGTGTCCTGGCCCACGATGGCTTCTTGGGGGGCAGGCACACGTGGGTGGTGAGTGTAGACCTGGCCCCCGGGGGCAGCTGCACCCTGGGAGTGGTGAGCGAGGACGTGCCGCGCAAGGGCGAGCTGCGTCTGCGGCCAGAGGAGGGCGTGTGGGCGGTGAGGCTGGCCTGGGGCTTCGTCTCGGCTCTGGGCGCCTTCCCTGTCCGGCTGGCGCTGGAGGAGCCTCCCCAGCAGGTGCGGGTGTCTCTGGACTACGAGGTGGGCTGGGTGAGCTTCACCAATGCTGTCACCCACGAGCCCATCCACACCTTCACTGCCTCCTTCACACACAAGGTCTTTCCCTTCTTTGGGCTCTGGGGCCGGAGGTCCAGCTTCCGCCTCGGCTCCTGAGAGGGCGCAGTCCCTCCTCTGCGTGCAGGAGAAAGTCAGGTACCACGTGGACTTGATCCCTGGCTGGGTCACCTGGAAAAGCTGGAATGGAAATGACGGCTTTAGACGATGGGATGGAGCCAGTTGCTAGGGGTCAAGGGGGTGACCCTCGGTCTGCTGATCAAGCCCTTCCCCGTGCCCAGTGGGTGGCCAGGGGCCTGGGACTCGGCGCCCTCACCAGTGTCCCCATCAGGCACACGAGTAGCTGTGCACAGGAGAGAGCACCGGGTTTGGAGCTAGAAGACCTGGGTTCTGGAATCAGCCTTGTGACTAACCAACTGTATGATTCATGTCTCCTCTTCTTGTTTTCTTCCAAAAATATTGGGTTCATTTACTCACACCCCCAAGACAGTTATTGTGTGCTGCTGGGAGCCAAGCAGCCCAGTAGCCGCTGGCCGTGAGAGAATAAGAAGAAAAAGCTAGTTCTACATTTGAGGGCACTCCAGGGACCAGAGGACGCCACAGCACAGTGTGGTGGCTGCCGGGACAGGGTCTGGCCGCGGCACTGTGGGGCTCAGAGGAGGGGCGCAGTGCAGCCTGGAGCGAGGGGTGTGCCAGTGACAGCTTTCTGGAGGGGACGGGTCTAAAGGACACATATGGTCACTGAGGGAAGGAGGGAGAGAGCATCTTAGGAAGAGGGGACAGCAGAGAACTGGCTGGGTGACCTGTGACTGTGGGACACTGGGCCATCTTATTGTTCTTATGAGCAGGTGCGTGCCATCCCCACCTGGCCCTGCTCGCTGCCTCCCTCCCCCTGCTGGTGCCGCTTCTGGCTGAGACGAAGGTGCCTGGGAGTAGGGGACGGGGCGGCATGGCCATAAACCACAACCAAGGACCATACTCCCCTTGCAGAAAGGTGTCTTCCTGATCACTTGATTGCCATTTGCACCCTCTGCTGCATTAAAAGTCCCGGGAGGAGGCCTGTGACCTTTAGCTTAAAGAGCTGAGATTGCTCTAGGCCTGGACAAAAACATGACATCTGAGAGGTGGGTGGAAGGGGGGGAGATGGAGGATTTGGAGAAGATGAGTGGATTTGTCGTGGGTGGCCCTGTGGGACGGAAGGACAGGTGGCGCTGGGGAGGCTGTGGGCAGGCCTGGTGTGAAGACGCTGGCACTGGTGAGCCTGAAGTCCCCTGCCAGCGCTCTTGCTGGTTTCACGCTGCCTAGGATTTGGAAAGTTGTCAGTCGTCCCACGGTGGGATTCTAAATCCTATGCATGATCAAAGTATTGTCTTGGCCAGTAGTGGTGGCTCACGCCTGTAATCCTAGCACTCTGGGAGGCTGAGGTGAAAGGATTGCTTGAGCTCAGGAGTTTGAGACCAGCCTGAGCAAGAGTGAGACCCTGTTTCTACTAAAAATAGAAAAACTATCCAGGCATAGTGGCACTCGCCTGGTAGTCCCAGCTACTCCGGAGGCTGAGGCAGGAGGATCACTTGAGCCTGTGAGTTTGAGGTTGCTGTGAGCTGTGATGATGCCACTGCACTCTACCTGGGGTGACAGAGCAAGACTATGTTTCAAAAAAAGTATTGTCTTAACTGCATCAAGAGACCATATTTTATTTTCTAGTTCTTGTTGTGTTTTATTCTGCTTAATCATACACTTCACTCATATCTTCAGCATCATCTGTTTGCTTTGTGCAGACATGAACCATAAAGTTCCATCACCCCCTTACTGGCCCCCTGAGCGGAAGGAACCATCCGGTGCAACCCCAAAGGGAGCGGGCGCAGCGGGGGTAGGCCCAGGCGTGGACTTTGCCCGAGTCTGTCGTTCACCCTCAGCTCAGCGATGGGAAGAGACATGAGGGTCAGGAGCCAGGGACTGGGGCTGCACTGCTTTCCCTGGGGCTGTTCAGTATTCACATAAAAGGTGTATTCCAAAAAATAAAACAGACAAAAGTGCCTATGTTATAAAACATAAAGCTGAGATTCCACTAAAAAGTGGATTATATTTTTCTATTTTTATTAGTTTTACAGTTTTTATTAGTTTTATATTTTTATCAGTTTTATTAGTTTGCTGGGTCTTTACAAATGACTGCTGGGTGGTACAGCATATGCCTATACGGGCCCAGCAGCACCAGGTCTGGGGCCCGGACCCCCCCCAGCCCTCCCCAGCCCCCACCCTCATTCTTCCAAGGCCAGAGCTCAGCCCGCAGAGAACGGCCATCTGCATTTACAGCGGACTACTTCACACCTTGCCTTGTAGCTACTCTTTCTACTGCAAAGGGACACCCACTCCAGTCAGTTCAATTAACAGGGAGGTTTATAATACAGTCAGAAGCGGAAATGAGGAAAATCGGAGTTTCCTCTAATACCAGGCCTCCAGGGAAGCTCTGGCAAACGAGGGGAGGGGAACACCTTTGTAACAGTGCCCCAGGAAGGGCGAAAGGTGGGGGATACCATCGTCACAGTGCCCCAGGAAGGGCAAGAGGCGGGGGACACCGTGGTCACAGTGCCCCAGGAAGGGCGAGAGGCGGGGGACACCGTGGTCACAGTGCCCCAGGAAGGGCGAGAGGCGGGGGACTGCTGGTCAGGGTACCGTGCAGGCTGGAGGTCACACTCGAGAGGCGGGGGACACCGTGGTCACAGTGCCCCAGGAAGGGCGAGAGGCGGGGGACTGCTGGTCAGGGTACCGTGCAGGCTGGAGGTCACACTGGCCAGACCCCCGGAAGCGTCTTTGTGCCTGAGCTCGTGCAGCCCCGGACAGTTCGGGAGGCAGGGTCTGGACCCGCGCCCCATCTGGTGCAGAGGAGAAGGGGGCGCCACGGCCGAACAGGTTCCAACCAGGGAGCGGTCCCCATTCGAGCTCGCCAGGCTGGGCTGTGGGATTGGACACTGGGAGGTCGGGGCGAGGCTGGAGGCAGGGTAGGGACAGGGACAGGCGTGTCCTGCGGCCCTCGGCAGCTCGGGCAGGGCTCCTGCGGGTGGCCGGCCTGGGGTCGGATGCCTAGGCTGCTCTGCCGCCACCTGCCACGTTCCTCGGGGATCTCGCTGAGTCTGGCGGACCTGGCAGTTTCAGCTCATTATCCTTGTCCCTCTTTGATAAGGTTTCTCTCGACAGGCCACCTGAGAGATTTGAGTGGCCGACCACCTCCTGTGGTCACCAAGGCCGGTGGTCAGGGCAGGGCCCGGGAGGCCGGGTAGTGCCGGGGTGGGACTTGTCTCCAGTGGAGACCGGGGCGGGCCCAGCACCCCTGCCGGGTGCACGGTCTCCTGTGCTATCAGCCTCGCCTGGGACGCTGCATTGCTAGCTGGCACCTGCAGGAGTGTCCTTTCCTTGTTCTTTGGGGGTCTGGTGCTTCTCAGAGATGACAGCGCCCTGACAGGCGGCTGCGCCTTCTTCCTGGACAGCCGCTCCAGGCCCCGGCTCCTCGCCGGCCCACTCCCGTCCAGGCCGTCCTGCACAAAGGTTCCAGACTGGTTCTCTTTAGACACCACTTTTCCCTTCACTCCCACCTCAAAACCTCTGACTGCTCACTATGTCACTATGTCGCCATGTCACCATGTCACTATGTCATGGCATCACCCATCCAGCCTGCTGGCTTCTGGTCTTCCCCATTCCTGAAAATTCCACACTAACCAGACCCGTTTCCCCACAGTCCTACAAACGCGGCATGGCTTTTTCCTACCTCCCTGCTTTCATTTGTGTGGTTATGCTGACCTGGAATGTTCTCACCTTTCTCTCCCACCTGTCCAACCCCCCTCCCCTGCAAGCCGCACCCTAGCTTTCCCAGCCTCCTGGTGTCTCTGCTCTGAATTCCCAGAGCACTTAGCAGTTGGTGACTGCTGAACTCGATGCAGCGACACGTTCTCTTATTATTCCTTGTGTGTGTCCTGGTCCCACAGCTAGATCACAGCTGGTGCAGCGGGTGTGCCACTTTCTGAAAAGATGGTATGACATACTTGAGTTTACCATATGTTGGGACTGCAGCAGACACCCAGCATGCACCGTATTCAATTCTGACAACAATCCCAGGCCACCAGGCCATCACCCTCCTTTGAGATGGTGGGAGGGGCAGTGCAGAGCTCAGAGAAGCTAAGAAACGTGCCCGGGTCACAGAGGTTTGGGGCGTCGGGACGGGACCTGAACGCAAGCCTGACGCCCACGTCCTGAGGCTTCGCACCGCCTCGCGGCACCTCCCTGCGGCTGCGCTTGGCTCTCTGTGTCCCTCAGCCCGCGTGGAGTGTGGCGCTGGCGGCCTCATCAGGGCGCAGTGCGTGCTAGTGAAAGGCAGCCGATGGCTCCCTTTGAATGCCGAGGGTCGCGGAGGGCTCTCACGCTTTCTGTTGATTCGTTCACACTTCCATTGACATTCTCCTGACGCCAGCTGTGAGCCGGCGCTGTCCCAGACATGGAGGACACATAGCATTGTCCTCGCTCGCCAGGGAGCGTGCGAAGGCGAAGGCCCTGTCACTGGGCTGCCTGTGTGGACTCTGCTGGCAGGCTCACGCTGGGGACTCTCCTAGCCAAACAAGCGAGGCGTATGCACAAATAACTGACAGACCATTGTGTTACTTATCCATTGCTCCCTAAAATGGCCACAAATCCACACATTTACTGCCTTAAGACAACACATATTTACTGTCTCACAGTTTCTGCAGGTCAGAAATTTGGGCACAGCTTAGCTGCTCCTCTGCTGGGTCTCACAGGCTGCAGTGGAGGTGTGGGCTGGACTGGAGCCTCACCTGGAGCCTCACCTGGAGCCTCACCTGAAGAAGAATCGGCTTCCACGGTCACTCACTCAGGTCATTGGCAGAATTCAGGCTCTTGCAGCCACAAGACTGAGAGCCTGTGCCTCCTGTTGGCTGAGGTGGGGCCTGCAGGCTGCTCCTGGCTCCTGGGGTCGCCTGCAGGGCCTTACCCAGGGCCACGCACTCCCTCAAGACAGCAAGGAGAGTCCCCAGAGTGAGCCTGCCAGCAGAGAGAGTCCGACACAAGCAGCACAGCTACAGGGCCTTCACTTTCGCACGCTCCCTCCTGCTCCAGGAGCTCGGGAGGAACGTTCCTGTGACACAGCTGCTGGGCTCGCTGTGTGGGGCACCGCCGCTGCGAGCTCATGCCACCCACACGCCTGGGCACACCTGCTTCACCACGCGACTGTGAGACACGCGCTGCCGCCGGCTCGCAGGTGAAGCGCTGATCTCGCAGATGGCCCTGGAGATCGAGGACGACCCCGCCGTGGCCTCAAGCGCCGTTGGAAGGAGGCTGTGGCATGAGGGACTGGGCACGTGCTCAGGCGACGGCAGGCCTGGAGACGCCCTGGCTGCGCCTAATGGGGCAGGACAGGTGGAGGAGGGGACAGAGAAGGCCCCGCCAAGCCTGGAGTGCGCGGCCGGTGAGAGCAGGTCAGAGCTGCTGGCGGTGGCTGAAGAGCGATTGGCCGACTCCTTTCTCCAGCTCGGGATAAAGAGCCTCTGCTCTCTGTGGGGCACTCCTGGAAACAGAGACCCTCACGAGCACACGGGTGTGTGTGCCTCCTGCCGACTCGCGCACTGGCCATGCAGCACCAAGACGCTGAGGCCTGTGGGGCCGCGGGTCTCGCGACCCTGCACATATCTGTGACGGACTGGCGCGCCGGTGACCCACCTGCTCTGCAGGTCGCGGCGCTCTAGGAGAGAGAGAATCGCGGTCAGTTCTCAGGTTCCTGTCACCCCCAATTCCCTTCCCACCTCTCTTGGAGGCCATGCCAGGGCGCCACCTTGAGAACTGGGGGGATGGTACCTTCTTCTGCACACACTCTGCTGCAGCAGCATGTGTGGCCTGGGATGAGCCACCACCAGCCCATGTCACCGCATGTCACGTGAGCCCCTCCCCCTCACACCTCCCAGAGGGGGCAGCAGGTAGGCTGCCTCAAACCCGGAGGACGCCAGCCTTTGGGCAAGCCTCGGGCCACGCACTTGCAGTGTGCCGGCACCTCGCTCCTTTGGGCAAGCCTCGGGCCACGCACCTGCAGTGTGCCGGCACCTCGCTCCTTGGCCGTCCTCTCGGGGCCGGCAACCAGGCTGCTGAGCTGCGCTGCTGCCTGGAGACCTCGAGGGCTCTGACCACCTCTGCGGCACGTCCTCCCACGGGCCCAGCCGCTGTGGAGGGGCACCCAGCCGTCCCCTGGTTTAGTGCAGTCTCTCCAGCTCAGTCTCCAGCCTGCGGTCCCCGTGGTCCACCTGGAACTACAGAGGGGGGCCCTAAGACTCAGGGGCCGACGGCTCCCTCCTGGCCCGTCGCAGTCGAGTGTGCGAGTGGGGTGCAGGTTCCTCAGCTCTCTCCCCCTCGCCACTGCCTCTGCGTGTCGCAGGCGTTGCAGAGACAGGGACATCCCCTCTTCCCACCTCACACTCGTGTGACCATCTACACATGCTGTGTCCTACCGCAGTGGGACACACACACATGTGCCACCCAGACGTGTCTTCTCACTGCCGGCCTTTAACCCCCCTTAGGGCGTAAGGGAAGGACAGATGTCACACCGAATGGGTGGAAGGAAAAAAAAGAAAGGTTGGAGACAGAAACGGAGACCTGTGGTTTGTGTAGTGATTTCAGTTGATGAGACGCTGTCTCCTTTGATCCTTACTCCTCACCAGGAGCCAGGGAGAGCAGGCTCTACCCAGATTGGTTCTCATTTAACATCAAAGTCACATGAAGGTCAGAGCTAGCAAAGAGTGAGCCGAGGCCAACACCTGGGCTCTCAGCCTCCACGACCTTCCCCCATCCCCAGCCCGCCCCAGCAGGCTGCTCCATGGAGGTCGCTGTGGGGAACAGGGTGGCAGGGCCCTAATGACACTCCAGGCAGTCTTTCCTTCTGGGAATCTAAGGAACCCACCTGCAGAGCCTGCAGTTTTTCCTCCTGAGCCTTGAGCTGATGTCGTTCTGCAATGTCCTTTCTGAGCTTCCTGCTCCGGTGGTTGAGTGGCTCCTGGAGACACAGGCACACCTGCTTGTCAGATGGGGTGAGGGTGGCACCCACAGGAGGGGCCAGTGGGACACAGTGGGGGTCTGAGACCCACCATAAGGCCAGCGTGAAATTCTGCCGAAAATAGGTGCTTGTCAGGTGTCATGCCTGGGATAAGGAACTTGAGATTTTATTTAGTAGATAATTATGAGAAAAAGGTAATGAATACATTTTTTAAGTCTTAGAACTACACAAGATTAACGGTATTAGAACCATTTCTACTTGAGTTCATGGTGCTTTATTCCCAACATTTTAAAGTTACGTGACAATCTTCTGGCACTTTCTACTGCTTCCCACTAGCAAGCAAAGCCAGTCTGGAGAGAAGGGCCTTGAGGAGGGGTGGTGGCTCTGGTCCTCTTCTCCTTGGCCCTTGCCGGCCAGATAGCAGAGCCCTCGAGTGGGTGCAAAGCCACAGCCCAGGCCGGCGAGCACTGTCCCTCTCAATCTTAACCCACTGACTGGATGGGTCACTGTGTCCCCAAAGCTATGGATGGAATGAATGATTTGAATTTCTAAAAAAAATTTGCTTTTAGGTTTCTGATAAACTGTGAGAGGAGCAAAAATAAACAGAGCTAGTCCTGGTATCAACACTGGACTGTAGTGAGCCAAAGTGGAGGACAGGGGAGGGTGTCAGCCAAAGACTCTGGAAACACCTTCCATGTAATCAACTGTTAGATGAGTTGCGAAATGCACTTGTCCTGCCCGGTAACAAGAGTGTTCAAAGCCACGGCAATAACCGCAGCATTGGCGCAAGAAGAAAGAAAATGAAAGAGGAGAGAGCTTGGAGGCAAGACATACAGCCATAAAGGAATTTTAAAAGAATGTGTAGGGCACAAATCGGGGAGAAGGGGCGGAATCTGTGGAAGACGGACGTGAGAAAACTGGCTTATGAAAAAGGAGAAATAAAACCGATCCTACCTAGAACCATCTGGGAAGGTGACTCCAGAGGGTTGCAGACCTATGTGCGAAAAGAAAATTATAAAATCAATTAAAAATTATGTTAGAGAATAGATTTGTGACATAGGTGTAGAGAAAGATGTCTTAAACAACCCCCAGGGCACAAACCATGAGGGAAATTTTAAATCTGATTACATCAAATTTAAGTATTTCTGTTCAATGGCAGCACCAGGGATGAAATTAACAGAGAAATTGGGAGGTGGTATCTTGAAGGTCTATAACCAACAAGAGAGTTATATGTAGAATAGAGGAAGGTAAGTGTTCACGTCAACAAGAAGGCAGGAACCCAACAGAATCTCAAAGAGTGTGAACAGTTAATTCACAGAGGAGAGGATGCAGCGGGCTACATAATGCACGTGGCCAGGTGCACAAGCTCTTCAGTGATTAGAGACATGGAAATTAACAGACAATGAAATTGTTTCCCACCCCGAGGATCAATGAAAATGAGACAGCTGGATAATGCCCAGCGGGGCAGATGCATGGGCCTGGGGCCCCGGCTAGCTGGGAGGCGTGTGCTGGCACAGTCCTTCTGGAGGGTCCCAGCCACCAAAGTGTGCTTTCTTCTGTGATCTGGTGGTCCTGCTTCTGGGTCAATATCCAGAGAATTCTTCACGTGGGGCCCAAGAGGACGTGTACACTGCAGCAGAGTAGGAGCCTCGTGAAGTCTACTCCTGGGAAACGGTTCAGCGAAATGTGGCAGGCCCCTGTGTGGGACACACGGAGCTGTCAGAAGTCAGGGACTGTTGGACACAGAACACGGGTCGATCTTGCAGATGCGATGCGGAGTGGAAAAGCAAGAGATAGGCGGAGGCTCGTCACAGCACAGCAGTTTGTATATTAAATAGTCAAACACAAAACAGCAATATGTGTTTTGGCAAATCTACAAATAAAAAGACAGCGACATTCACACGGCTGTCCACAGGAGTGGCTGGGGGAGGGACGGCGTGGAAACGGAAAATAAATGGCACAAGGAAAGGATCTGTGCACTGAAGATAAGGACGCACTGTTAACTGAAGAGTGTGTTTCATTAAACAAATCCCTCTCACCCCAGGTCAAAACAATGTCTTTAGGAGATTTTGGAGCTCTGCAGGGAGAAGACGAGGGTCGGGGAGACGGCCTGAGATTCTGCTGGAGGGGTCGAGGTCCCGGGACGGAGGTCAGCGAGGGCATTCGGCAAACGGAGCTTCCGTCTGCAGAGGAGACAGTGATGTCACCACCAAGTGACTAAAGGCGCGCCAGGTCCCTGGGCGACACCTGCAGGCATTCCCCAGCAGAGGGGATAAAGCCTCATGGAGGGACAGGGAGGCAGGAACGGTTGGCTCGCGGGCCTCACGGGAGACTGGCAGGCGCGGCCGGTGTGGAATCGCTCGCGTGAGCTCTGAAGGCACAGACACAGCCTCCACCCCTTCCCTCTGCTCTCTCCGTCCTCCCCGCGAGTAGCCTGCCCTTGCTGTCTGCACGTCCAGGCGGCCCTGTGTTCCTGGCCCTCTGTTCGTTCCTCATTTCCTTTGACGCGTCTCTGCGGTCACCTGTGATCTCCAGCCGTCGAATCCGGAAGGCCCCAAGCTCAGGCCCCTGGCCCCGCGCTGCCCTCTCCTGCCACTTTGCCACTTCGCTTTTCCTGCAGAAAGAAGCCTTCGCAGACGTGGGCTCCCCCACACTTTCTGTCTCTGACTGCGCCCTTAGCTTTCCATTCTGGAGGCTTCAGAGCCTACCGCAATCCCCAAACCAAATCTTTTTCGGGCAAAGTTCATGTTTTCAACCGAGAGCTAAGCACCTCCTGCTGCCCACCAGCCACTCACACCAGGTGGAGCGATCACTCTTGCTGTCCCTTCCTGCCCTCTTCTGCAGTGCACTCCTGACCTCCACCTGTCTGTCCTGGCGCCTGCCACTGTGCCTGCCGTTCAGCTCGGAGCCTGTCACGTTTCACCCTTGTCTGTGTTACTCCTGCCCCCACAGGTTGCTCACCAGCAAAGAGGAGCCGACCCCTCCACCAGCATGCAAGGCTCCCGTGGCCTCCCCGGTCACACTTCCAGGGGCCCCGGCTCCTCCGTGCTCTCCGCTGGCACACGGGCTGCTTTTGGTGGCCTGAGCTCGCCCTGCAGCCGCCCTCCCCTGGCTCAGCCTTTGCTTCCCCAGCCAGGGACACGCTGTTCAGGAGCCACAGTCCTGTCATCTGGCAGTATAAAGTCTAATAAAGGCAACCACAGACACTGTGTAAATGAAAAAATATAATAGCAGTAAAGACACGTACATGGTACAGTTGCAGATAACACAGACATATCATATACAATATCCCTCTGTTTTTAAAATATTTATTCATCAATTTTTTCATTAAAATGATATTTAATGGGTGCATATCACATGAATAAGGTATCCATTAGAATTAAAAAGCAAAATTCTATAAACGTTTATTTACCAAAGATATTCCTTAGGAAAAAAAAGATAAAATAAAATATAGAAAATAGTACAAGATCTGTCTTGCCTTAATGAACATTTGTAAGAGTTTGTTATTCTGTGAGCTATCAGATAAAATGTGACTTCACATTTGAAATCATATTAAGGCCAGGGATGGTGGCTCACGCCTGTGATCCTAGCACTGTGGGAGGCTGAGCCAGGAGAATCGATTGAGATCAGGGGGTCGAGACCAGCCTGAGCAAGAGCAAGATTCCATCTCTACTAAAAATAGAAAAAAATATTAGCCAGTCAACTAAAAATAGAAACAAAAAACTAGCTAGGTGTGGTGGCCCGTGCCTATAGTCCCAGGTATTTGGGATACTGAGACAAGAGGATGGCTTGAGCCCAGGAGTTTGAGGTTGCTGTGAGCTAGGCTGACGCCACGGCACTCTAGCCCAGGCAACAGAGTGAGACTCTGTCTAAAGAAAGAAAAGAAAGAAAAGAAAGAAAGAAATCATATTTAAAAATATTTTGATTAAAAGAGCATTAAATAATAATGAAACATGAGAACTTTGCAACATTAAAATTTGTTCTCAATTTACTAACAAAATATATAAAAGAAAAAGTTCTTAGATGAAAAGTACCTATCTCTGACACAGTAAAAAAAAATCACCAACTTTCAAAATGCATGCTCTTTACAGAACAAACAGCATCCCAAAATATGGGTGAAGATGATATCACCCATGATTGAGACCTAGAAAATGTCAGGAGATCAACTTAAAGGATGTATGCACAAACATAATGAGCTCAGCAAAGACTCTGATTTGCATCTATAAGTACAAACTGCTAAAAACTAATGTTACAAACTATATAGCTTCTCTTAACAGAGTCCGGGCACATGAGGTTTAAATAAAGACAATTTAACATCTGATTCAGACATGTGAAGGAGAACTCGTAGTGATATAACCTGCTACTGGTTGAGAAGACTAAATAAGCTCCAAAAATCCATGATTCTTAAAGTAATCAACAAATTTAATGCCACAACCATTAAAATCTCAGGTAATGCTCTGTAAAACTCAGAAACATTGTATGAGAGCATTCGTCTGAAAGGACAGTCAACAGGAATATCAGGTAACAAAAGGTTGTTAGTCTCTGCATACTGTGGAAGAGAAAAAAAATTAAATGGCAAAGATGCTGCTAGATTTAAAAACTATATGACAATAGCTGGACATAGTGGCTCATACCTGCAATACCAGCACTTTGGGAGGCCATGGTGGGAGGATCATTTGAGCCTAGGAGTTGGAGACCAGACTGGGCAATATAGAGAGACCTTGTTTCTACAAAAAAAAATTAGCCAGGCAGGGTGGTGCCTGTAGTTCCAACTACTTGGGAGGCTGAGGCAGAGGATCAGTTGAGTCCAGGAGTTCGAGGTTATACTGAGCTATGATCAGCCTGGGCAAGACCTTGTCTCTCTAAAACAAACAAGCAAAATTACATAATAATAACCTTAAAACAGAAAAAATAATCAATGCACTAGGGTAATAAAAAGTCCATAATAAGAACTTAATTTATATCTAGCCAGAAACACCACCACAGGAACAGGAGAGCACTCTCTATTACAGAAGTGTTTTGGGGACAACTGGATACCAGAATACAGAAAAATTAATATGGAGTCATTCTTCACACAACATGCGATGTTAAGTTCCAAACAAACCAGGAATTAATCTTTAAAAATAA